AGTTTGTGTAGAAGTTTAACATGCTTATTTTATTGAACTTTAAACCTTAGTTCATCATTGTAAGTGCTTGACGTGCTTAAATGATGGTGTAAAATTAGCAAAAACAAGCAAAATAAAAGTGTATCATATAAGTGCTCTCGGGACTTTTCCGACTGAAATTTCGTCTACTTTTTGGATTTTTGTTAAATACTTTGATATTTGTTGGTTATTGACGGAAATTCCAATGCTGATATGATAATGAAAGTCTTGGGGCATTTTTCCGACAGTTTTGTCAAAGTTTGTTATTTATTAATGGGAAAAAATAGATGTTGAATGTGACCTACGATTACACCGATCATCCTTGTGACACTTGGGTCTTACAGGAATGTGTGAAAGGGGTAACTATAACATTTAATAAAAAATTATTACTTTTGCAGGTGACAAACCATCAGTTGTCAGGAAGCATGATGACCCCACAAGTACATCTCAAGAGGCTGGTGAGTCAACCTCCTCACCTGGTGGGATATCATGCATGTTCCATTGTTTTAAATACCTGCAATAAATTTGTGATACTATTAATTTTATGTGATGGTAACCTTATTTGACGAACTTGAACTAACTAGTGATGCAAATTATCTTAAATACAATTCTTTTGTAGGTGTGCACCATCATCAAGAAGCTACAGTAGTGAACCAGGCCCATCTACATCTCGACAAACTGATGCTGCACGTTTAAGAAGAGGTGGGGCATTGCATTTTATAATGTATCAGTATGATAATATTTCTGCCATTCTGATTAATGCTAGAATTTTCCAATAATTTCCAAGACAAAACACATGGCAATGTTACAACTTCATCTTAATCAGCTTAGGCAGAACAGAGCCATCACGTTTGTCTCATAGCATCTCTGCACTATTATATTGTTACAGGGAGCAACTACTCCCATACAGGAGATGGCAAATCACAGACTAGGTCTTTTCTGGATCTCCTTGATGAAAGTGACTTCAGTGAGAGTGATGATGACTGGCTACCCGAGGCAGTGACGTCATCTGGGAGACTAATTGGAGTTGAAGAAGCTGTCACTTCTTCGGACTCGGATTCTGAAGAGGATCTCCAGGAGATATCTGTATCTTCAACTGCTGGGGAGCCAAGAAGATTGTTTTACCTACGAAATAAATCTTTCGTAGACCATGCTCCTCAGAATGCAACAGAAAATTTAGGAGCTTGTAACTTACTGAAACCAATTGAGTATTTCCTATCTTATGTCAGTGAGGATTTTTTGGGAGATATTGCAATGTATACAAATATGAAATCAATTGAAACTACAGGTGCATGTATTAACACAAACAGCAAAGAAATTGCCACTTTCATAGGAATGACATTTGCTATGTCAATCATAAAGATGCCAAGAATTAGAATGTATTGGCAGTCAAAAACTAGGATCCCTTGGATAGCTGATAAAATGGCAAGAGACAGATTTTTCCGTCTCAGACATTCGTTAAAGGTTATTAATGATAACACTGTATTGGAAGACGACAAAAAAAGTGACAGGTTATGGAAAGTAAGACCTTTGTTGGAAGCAGTACGAACTCGTTGCAGCGAGTTGCCAAGGCCATCGAAGGTCAGTATTGATGAAAGCATGATTCCTTTTCGAGGTAGAATCAGTATCAGGCAACATGTCCCTGGCAAACCTTTCCCAGACGGGTTAAAAATGTTTGTCCTAGCTTCTCCAAGTGGAATGGTACTCGATTTTGAAATTTTTCAAACTAAAGAAGCATTGCTATCCATTATTGAAAAGCTGAATGTTAAACCTGACAGAACCCTCACAACTGGTGAAGCAGCAGTATTAAGGTTTGTGCGCAGTGTGGATGCTGGCACAAGTATCTTTTTTGATAGATTTTTTACAAGCTCAAACTTATTGTGTGATCTGTATGACAGAGGCCTTCGAGGAACAGGCACAATTAAGAAAAACATGGTACCTAAAGAGGCTAAGCAAAATTAAAGACTGAGGCAACCTTGCGCAAAGAGGGCAGAGGGGCATCCGATTGCCAAGTCCGAAATGATAACAAGGTGGCTGTCACTGCTTGGTATGACAAAAAGTTGGTACTAATGGCTTCCAATGAGTTCTCTATTGATGACGAAGATATATGCCAGCGGTGGTCTAAGGCTACCAATACCCATGTTGGTGTAAAGAGGCCCCGTGTGGTAAGGGAGTACAACAGTGCCATGGGGGGTGTGGATGTTCATGACCAAATAGTCAGCTATTACAGAAGCCCCAATCGCACTAAGAAGTGGACTGTTAGGGTGGTATTGCATGTACTTGATGTTGTAACTGCCAACTGTTGGCTGGAATACAGAAAGGATATGGAGTCAAAACCCAAACAATATCTAGACTTCAAATTAATCTTGGCAGACCAGTTAATGTCAGGTGATTTCTTTGACCATGCCACTGACAGTCAGAGTATTTCTGATGCAAGTCTCTCTTCAGTAGACTGTATTGATTCAGAGACTGAGCCTCCTCTAAAGGCAGCTAAACAGGGCTTGACTCCTCTGCCAAACAGGGCTGAAAGAAAGAAAGGTGCATCTCATCTCCCAATAGTCATTGATGGTAAGAACTCTTTCCGCAGATGTCGCAGAGAAGGATGTAAGAATAGAACACGAACATTGTGCTCTCAGTGTAATGTATTTCTCTGCAACTATGCAAAGAGAAACTGCTTCCTTGAGTTTCATGTATAAGTGATATATTTGCTTTCTGTTTTTTAAGTATGGCGCATATGTTCCTCATCAAAACAATTATTTTGCATAGGATTATTCTATAGAAGTGATATTTTTCTTTAGTCTTGAACCAGAGAATAATTCATAAAAAAGATTTATTTTCCTATAGAGGTGCTGCAATTTATTCTAGTCTTGAACTAAAGAGTAGGCTTACTATTTTTACTCATAATTCAATGATTCTATTTATATACATTTTCAGGGAAAGATACATTTTTTTCTAATTAATTAAGTATTTTTCTACTATTTTATGGAAGAATTTCTTGTTTGCCTTAATGAAGAATTGCAGGTATACAGTAACTGAAAATAGAATATTTTCTATACATTTTACAGAAAGAAAATGTATTTATTTTTACATTTTACAG